ACATATATACATACATATATACATATACATATACATATACATATACATATATATATATATATATATATATATATTAATATTAATATGAGAGTCACGAGATAGAATTCGAGAACAAGATAGCGGAATAGGTGATTTATGCCCGTCGTAACGGCGCACGTAGGCGCTCGTTCGCTTGGTTCCTTCACCGAACCTAGTATTGGTCGATTGGGTATTCACGTTGGGCAGCTGGCGCATGATAAGCAAAGCTTTGAACTCACAAACACACAAGTATAGTGCATGAACACAGTTTCTAATTGCGCATGAACTTATACATTGAATGTATGCTAAAATTAGATGCAATTCGTAAAAAAGCATACTTGATATTAACGCACAATTCTGAAAAATTTGTACACGTAAATGCACCTTATGTCTTCAGTGTATAGATAGACGCATATTGGCTGTACATGTGAAAAATATCCAAGCGCACATACGCCAGCTCGTCACCCGGTCGGTGAACCTGACTCCTACTGACATGTTCGTCCAATTTGAGCTGCAATCGTGCCTGTATGCTATCACTTCCTAATAAGGTACTGGTAGCAAAAAGCAAGTTTTCGGCATGTTTCGTAAAACTTGGTTTCCGCGTCAAAACTAAGGCCTGGTCTTGATCGTCGCTGTCAACTCTGTCCTCATCCACCGCTTCTACATTGTGCCAGCAATGTATATTATCGGATAATTTCAGTGAGTGCCAGCTGTGTCTTTGCTCACCTTGAGACTATAATCAACAAGCATTGATCACATGCTTCCATTGTCGAAATAGGAAGTTGCCTTCATGCGATAGCTTGAGTTAGATAATATAGCAATAGAAAAAGTAGTGTGGAGTGCTTTTTCCTCCTTTGATGGTCGTGGTACTCTTTATGGGCAACGATTAATGCACGCTGGAACGAATTCAGACTCTAATTCGGCTTGGTCTGAAAGTAAATTTACGTATGAGCCACCCAGACCCCACGCCAACGTACAACACGGAGGTAAGCAACAATTAATCAACGCTAACACACACACACACACATATATATACATACCCATATCTTTCCAGAAATCATCGTCCTCCATGGCATCCAGCCACGATGGCTCAGCCCCCAGGGCATCATTGAAGACCTCGTCTTCCAACACCGCCATCGCCAGACCCTCAGCCGTCTGTCCATTGACACCTCGCCCGTCTTTACCACCCGAAAAACCGAACGAACCGGTCCTGCCCGTGGGGGCGAGCGCGGTCTCGTCTTGTACGAGTGTACCGAAGGGTGATGCACGCAGCAGGTATGCGTACAGAAAAGGAACGAGCAGACACAGGGCCTCTATGTGCATCAATACGTTCTTAGTCTCCCGTGCGGCTTCGAGATTGTGGGGTGTCTGCTGTTGCCTGGCTTGCCGTTGTTTGTATTGATTGCCGCTGTAAGAGAGAGGAGACATCAAGTCAGTGTGCATTTCTGACAACTCTAGTGTGTACGGAGTGACGGCAATACTCTAGTGCCTTATTTGTACTTTTCTAACGCTTTGCGACGTGGATACACGTATGTATGAAAAAGTGATGTACGTTTCGTCTCCTAACAGTAAAGATCTAGGTAAGCTTCATCCACAATTGAATGATGCCTCCGTGCTAAATATTGGATTGCCAGTTGCTAGAGGTTTGTATTTGAATATATTTCTTCATGAGGTCATGAATTCGACTAAGCGTTGACGCATCGAGTTCAGATTCATTCTGGGGTAGAATGAGATGTGCAGTTTCACTATTTATGTACAGCTCACCAGATGATAGAACGACGCAAACATATTCAAAAGGGGCATACCCGAACATGACATTGGGCTGGGGCGCTAATTCAATCATTTTCCCCATCGCATTCTCCAATGATGTATACAGAGTAGGAAGAAAACTGGTACACAATAGATCCAATTCACACGCACTCTGAGCCATCGAGGGCAGGTAAAGGGCTTCGGCTGCCCTGACTACCCGGTCGTTCCGGTCCAATATTGCCAAAATCAACAATTTCGTCAGACTCTTGTGCTTGTCCTTGCCTTCCAAATAGCTATTGATGACGAATATGTACCAAGGAGTAATATGACGCATATTTTTAGACACAATCTATACCACGAGGAAAGTCCACTCAATGAAATAAGCTACAATTGAGCGATCGAGTGCAAAACTACAAAGCAAAAAGGCTCTGACATGCTAAATCCACGTGAGCAAAACCGCGCCATGAATTGTTGATTTGAATATCAGAATCCAATATGGTTGTCATGGATTTTATGAGAAACCAAGCACATACGTCACAACTAGGCCCAAATTCTTAACAGCCGATTGGCGGACCATGTCGGAGGTATCCTCCATAAGTTGGGTCAAAATGCTCACCACCAGACTGCTCCGAAGTTCGGGCTTGACAAAGCGAGCGAGCTTGCCACATGTGTCCGCGACTAATATCCGTCGCTCTGCATGCGGGTGGTTGATCTGTTCCCAGCATCTAGGCAGTAAAGAAAACCAAAAGTTGTTGAGAAGCAGAAGTTAGTGCGTGATGCAAGGTAACGCTGCACCCCAGTGTCAAGCTCCATGTTGAATGTCAGATTGATTATTTTACGAGTGACTAAGTGTGAAATCTCTAATGGATACCTACGTTAATCATCTGGCGTTGTAAAAGATTAACACGACCAAGCGCTTGCTTTGTAGCGGCCACAACGACGAAAGATGTCATACTTTGTGAATTGTGCGCAATAAGTACTACGGTCTCAAAACATACTGGGGTAACAGTTCAGCCTCCACTCGCAATGGACCGATCCTTTCAGCCAAAATTGAACATCCGTTTACGATTGCCCTGGATGTAAACGTAATAATGAGGGGAAGCAAATGGAACAGTATTAGAAGAATAAGAAGAAAAAATACATGCCCAAATTACGTTAAATTCTCGGATAATGATATGTAGCTTAGTATGAACCACAAGAAGTGCCGACTCATACTAAATTTCAATATGCCCAGAACTAGATATAGCCTAAGTTGCGAGAGAAAAACTGCCACCCGGAATTTGAACATTCTAAATTAATTGCACCGATGCGCATATTGAATACATTGACTAAAGGTGATCTAATAAGCTATTATAAAAATTAATTGGAGACAGGAACAATCACAGACTACACGCTTAATGTATGTAAGACACCGCTGGCACACACCTCCGCTGGTTTTCTGTGGGCTTCCGTACTAAATTGAATAATATGTTGGTGAGCTGATCTCGCACCTTGGGCTTGCGGTGTCTTTGAATCGTTATTATGAGTGCAGGTATAAGCTCCTGGGGTAGAGAATATGATCATGGTAAACATACGTCAGAAAATTACAAAACCATACGATGTAACAGTATATGACTGTCATAGTATATTCAACCATATTTGGTGTATCGGCGAGTGCTACAGCAAGCCCAGCTATACTTGAGAACCCTTCTGCAATTGTAAGCGTGACCGTCACACACCCAGCTCTCTCTCAATTGGAATGACTTCAGACTCAAAGAACAAGTAGGTGCGTTACATCAGTGGATGTGAAAGCCACTTCACAGTATCTATACACACAATAGCAAGCCGATTATGCGACAGTATAGTTGATTTCAAATATGTGTCCCACACACTCGCTCAGTCTCCATTGATCTCGGACGGCCTTACGAGATCCTCTTGTAAAAACAGACACACTGGATATAAATACTGCCCAAGGATGATACAGGCTAGGATGGGGAAAAGTCACACTCATCATGGACTCATACTAAGAAAGAACGTAAGAAGTGATCTTCGCAATAAGCAGTGGCTCATCATACGAATAAGTAGAAAAGACGTGAAAAATAGAATTTGAACACGCTCCGTGCCAGTAGGACCGACACCGCCACCAACGACATATGCATTTGTACCAACGAGACAGACTCAGAAAAAAGCCATTGAATACTAGACATGGGGAATTTATCACCGACAACCACCATATCGGCTACCAACACAGCGAGCGAACGCAAAATACAGCGTCAAGGCCAGAGGTGTGCACTTACGTCTCTCCTCTTGACCAGTACATGGGGGATAATATTGGGAAGGCACCACCCAAGCACATCCACAGGGTCATCATTGTGCTTCTTGATGTGTATGACCTCGAGAGAAAGTCGATCCTTTCCGGACCCATACAATGAGACGGTTTCGATGGCTTTCCGATAGGCAAGAGGTCGTTGTCGCAGAGTGTTTACGCTGTACATCCGTTCCAGCGTCTGAGTGACGATATAATGTACGATTGAGCTAGTACACACGTGACTTGTATAGTGCTATGCACAACAATACCGATGGATTGCGAATTGAAGTGCTTGTTGGAATATCCTTACTATATGTATACTTACCTGGAACGAAATGCTTGCAACGAATGTTTTTGTATATAATAATGCAATACGCCACAGGCGCTACATAAAAGTGTAAAAGCACGTTTATATTTTGACATGTCTGAAGCAGTTCACGTTCGCTGCAACATACCATATGCATATCTTTTTCCTCCCTTTCACTCGCAGTTCGTGCACAAGCCGACCCTTCATCGGCCGCAAAACTAGCTGTGAATGCAGATACGATTGAACAATTGTTTATATTATCTACATGTAAACACATATATGCCGAATTAAACATCCTGCCTGAATATACATGTTAGCGTAGTTTGTGACTAACACTCTTTTCGGTGGTTTTTATTGCGGAACCCTCCGGGGTATGAGTGTTCAATCGATAGCGGTAAGAAAAAAAAATGACCTGCAGCATATGATTGGACAGTAAATTATACAAGTAGCCATCACCTCTAGACAGTTAGGTAAATACCTTGGTCGACCATCGTCTGCAATTCTTCGTTGCGCGCTCGCAGATGTCCGTTGGTCTGTTTCATTGCCTCATAGCCCCTTCTGAGGTGTTCGATGTCAAGTGTCAGTTCTTGCTCCACAGACATGAACCTGGTTTCACTTTTCACGCGACGCATAGGCAGACCCTGCATGTTTGTAGCGAAATAGAGTTTCAAAATCAAATTTACTGGTGTGATAGAATCAACAATATGAAAGATTATCAAACGATATAATTGCTCGGACAGATTAAAGACGTGGCAATGCACATAAGTACACATAGGTGATGCAAGAAGTCCCCGAGAGAACCGTAGGCATTCAATTGAGAGGTATGTGAGTGCAATTAGATCACGGAGTATATATCAGCGAAACAGCGCATGCAATTGATCGCTTAGCTGGCAGATGTGGTGCTCATGTCAGTTGGGCAAGAAGCACAGCGTTCTCTACTACAAAACACCAACTACGGAGCTGTAGCAGTATATCTGGCATGTCAGCACTAAAACAATTCATCTGTTCAATACCTAGCAGCAGAAAAGCGGCAGCTCGACTTCAGGGATATTACTATCTCTATATTGCATTAAGAGGCGATACGACTGCACATACTTAGATTCAAATTGTATCTTCATTATTTCTTCCCTCATCTCACCCTGCCAGATATCCAGCAATTAAGCTACACAAATACGCACACATACTCGTAGTTATTGTCATACGTTTCTCCCTCCGTTCAGCCCTGTTCCAATTACAGTGCGGATGTTGCACATACTGCACAAATACCCATACCTCATCGTTGCTTTCCTGCTCTGCCTTATATGCAGTTGATTTCGGTGGTCCCGGAAAGTTCCGACTTTTTCTGCCGCCTACGTCTTTGCGTGGAGTATCTGAATCAGTGGTTTGGTTCCGAACTTCGAAACCGCCAGCCACAACCCGACTTGAGATTTTTGAATTTGTTGGCTACATTTTTTAAGTGGGCATGATGACAGAGTCTGAGCGTCAACAACACAGCTTGGATGAAGATATACACATGAAAAGGCAGATGGTAATAGTACACTCACACGCCTTGCGAGGACCTCTATCTCAGATCTCTAGCGTGGGCAACGAACTCGCTAAACACATATTGGCGCAAGGAACTAATCTGAATAGACAAGACATAGACAAACAAAAATCGATCATCGGAACGGCTTTATCATCGTCAGGGAATCTGACGCAGTATTCTTACCTTCACCAGAATGTCCAGTACGCCCGGTGATCGTGTTTGTGCTGTTAGTGTGTTTGTGGCGTTTTTCGCGTTGCAGTGCTGTTTGAAAATCAGGTGCAGCGGCGGCGGTTCGTGCGGTAGTCCCACCAATTGCCAATCGTCAAAGTCTGGATCCCCAGCCTTGAAAAAAAGTAATGAGATGATAATGCAACGAGGAAGAATAGCTATGAGAACAACACGCAATAGGTAATGCAAAACAAAAACTCCACCACGGTAAAAATAACAGTCTCAGCTATATGTTCATGGTCTGTCACATGAACGCACAATTCAAAGGGCGCACACAACCCGTAACAGAAACCACCAGAGCGCTTACTTCGTCGGCAAATGTATTGGCCGTTTCCTTATTGCCTGATTGTACCAGATACTGGTGGACTATAGCGGTTATCGCCTGCTTCTGCTCACGCGGTAGATTTGTGACAACATTACTACTCTTTCCAGCCAATGACCGCCTCCGCGACAGTGTTCGGGTAGCATTTGTAGTTCCAGCTGCAATTTGCTTGCGCATCGGTGCGCTTTTGGTGATACCCACGCTCGACCTTCGCGAGGTTGGGCTAGCGGAGGAGCCTGAGATAGCCGGACGGAATTCAGTGTGAATGTCTATAATTTTAATATACAGGTGTACGCAAATCAAAAACCGTCACAGTGTAAAGATGTTTGATGCATACTTGGAATACAGTTCATTTAGACTAGATACAGATCACATACCTTTCCGATGCAGTTGTGCCACCTGTGCCCGCAGATTCGCCTCAGACTCTCTGCTCTGCGACAACTCTATTTCCATCAGGCGCAATCGCTCAGTCAGGGACGTGTAGTCAGTCAGAGGTACCGTCTCAACAGTGCCAGTTTTCGTTCGCGAGGGTGTCAGGTGCGCTCTGGGTTGATCCGCAGCTGTTTAAATAAATATAGCAGACTAAGAGACTGAGAACGATGGAGAGCTGATGCTTGTAGGAGCCTGATTTAAGAAAAGAGATATCCAATACGCAGTGATAGTATTCGTTGGTTACGCTGTATATAGAGTAGGTATAACATACGAAGAGAGCAATAGCAACGACTGAAACTGACACAACGAGCACGAGGCTGCCAGAATAATTCACGAAAGAAATTGACACATACGTATGCTGTCCGTATTCGGATCGATCTCGAAATTGGCTGGATTTTGAAAGTATTCAGCCAGCAACTCGAGGGAAACTCCATTCTCCTTCAGCTCTGTGTGGAATTCCTATTTCCAAATTTTGAAGATAATCAGTGGTTACAGGTGGACGTATATATTAGTATGATATTTGGAATTAAACACTAACACAGACTTATATTTATATATATATAAATATATATACATGTATATATATGTGTGTATATTTGTATATATATATATATATATATATATATATATATATATATATATATATATATATATATATATATATATATATATATATATATATACTATATATATATATATATATA